ATGACAACTGAGAGACATTCTTTACATTTCTTTGTCATCTCCTGCTGTTCTTTACAGATAATAGCACAGTAAGGGTCAGTGTTGGCGGATTAACTCATCCCTCCCATGGGTAGGAGCTGACTAATGCTGGATTCTGCCCTTGTATTGCATCAGGGCTGAGAACAGTGATTGTATCCACCACCAACAAAAATCTGTCGAGTATCTATTCCGTGCAGCGAGGACACAGCACAGGACTCAGAGGGACAGTGACAATGCAATGCTCTTACGTTATGCAATTGAATTGTCCCTGATTAGGGATGCTTCATGTACCCCAGAACAAAATAGGGCTGTGGTTGTGTGTTTGCTAAAGTGTGTCTGTTTCTGAATCTCCCCTGCTCTGCTCATCTCGGAAGGTCCCCAGAGAAGTGCTCAGGGCTGATACATACTAGCATAAAAGCATCTGCCGCTAATCCCCGTGTGCCTCACACCCGAATCTAGGATTTTTCTGTCCCCACCTAGAGTATCCGGGGTGCATGGTTTCTCCGCAATTAAACAGACTGCAGGTTGCTCCCCTCACCAGAAAGCTGCTCCCTTAAGCAGCTGTAGATTACACATCCTGGCTCTGGCTGCCGGAGAAAGCCGGTGGATTTGATTTTGTTAGCAAAAGCGGACTGAGACTCTAGCGGCTGCATTTTGCTTTACATATTAAAGAGTCAAAATACAAATAGGACTGTCCTTTTGCCACTGTAAGAGAAGAGGGGCTTGGATGGGTAGAAAGGTAGGATTTTTCTTGTGGAGATGAAATGCCGGATTCTGTCCACATGAGCCAGATGCTGAGGCGAAGGAAGCAGTGTCTCGGCGCCCAGTCAGCCTAGGTCCAGCTCTCTCTCTCCACCACCGTGTGCAGACCATAGCCATGCCCTAAGCCTCAGGTTGCCTGGGAAAAGGGAGTCCATGTGCTGCAGGGACTTCCTGAGCCACACTGAGAGATTATGTATGGCAGAAAAATTAAAAGCATTTGCTATTAGGGTATCTGGTCACATCTCATTATCCTCGACTAAACTACTAACCATACAGGTCTGAGTTCTGTAGGAGGCGGAGAGTGAGAGAGTCCATAGACACCAACCCCGCGTCAGTGGTCCAGGTCTGTGTTCACAGACTGTGGTGGACACTCACCCATCGGTCACACAGTTGATTCAGTGGGCCCCAACCAGCATTTCTTACATGAAATGGAATAGAATGGCAAAGAAAACATTGGAGTGATTTGCATGTTGTAAAGATAGATGTCTTTCAATTCTATTGATTCGGTAGTTATATATATATGTGTGGTATACCTGGTTGTCACTGGGCAATAGCAGAAAACACAATTCTTACTGTGACCTGCCATTTCCTCAGAACACTCTTGGAGAAATACAGATAGCCAGGCCTGCCCTCGACCTGTGCTCTCAGATGCTCAGGGATGGCTGTGGAGATCTATTTTTGCAGCTCCCTGGGTGACTCATAGATCCACATGCTGCAGTGTGTGGCAACCTCTGGTGGAGGGAACACAGGCAGTGGAGCCAGCAGACGGGGTTCAGTCCCAGGATCCCCAGCTACCAGCCTTGTACCATAAGACAAAGTTACCTAGCCTCCCAGGGCATCTG